TCGCGGGGGCCGGGCGGGGCCTGGGCTCGGCCCGGGCAGCGAGGAGGCGGATCTCCCGGACTCGTGGGCTCGGAGTCTCAGTTCCCTCCAGTTTCTGCCGCTCTGCTCCGGGGACCCGGTGGTCACACCGACCAGGTAAAGCGCGCGGCCGAGCCACACATCGCCGCTGCCTCTCGCTGCACATCCCCTCCCCCTGGTGGCTCGTCCTCCCTCGTCCGGGGCGCTGACCTGCCACTCGGCCGCGGTTGTGGATGCGAACCCTGAAGCGGGGACCTCACCCGACAGCGCTTCGCACTGGGAGGGTTGGCCGGCTCCACCTCCTGTCCCCCAGTCTGGGCCGCTTCGTCAGTGGGTGGGCCCGGTTCCCAGCTCCGATTTACTCCCTGCGAGCTAGAATGCCTCTCCCACCTTTATTTGCCGCAGAACTGACCGTCCAGGTGGAGAGCGCGCCGTTGAGGAAATTCGCACTTGAGCCCAAATGTCTAGGCTTTCTCCAGACGGCCCAGTGACCTCTACCCAGCCCCTGCCGCCCTGCTTTGTCCTTGTGTCTCCCCCTGGGAAGTTCACCTCCTCCCCTTCAGATTGGAGGCTCCCAGGCCTCGTGGCCTGGAGACCCAGCTGGTGCAGGCCTGCCGGGAGGAAAGCCCGCTGCCAAACAAACCTCCTTAGTAATTGCTCTGGACACTTTGAGAGTTTGCCCTCATGGGATTCAGCACTCCGTCGACAACTTCTGCCCCATCTGGAGAAGCTAAGGGGAAAGGGAGGGGTCAAATTCTCTGGTGACCCTCAGAGTTGGGCAGGTCCAGAGAAATGTTTTCCATGGAGTCAGCTAGTGGGTGGTAATCCTGCGCGATTTCAAATGCGTTTAGTTCTCTGGGTCCCTGCAAGGTGGGGGGGTTACTCCCGCGCTCCCTAAGAGTGAGTGGAGATTGGCGCTGGTGTGGGACCTTTAACAGTAGTAGATGGTCAGTAAGTGTTCTTTCCCCCTTCCCTCTGGTGCTGGCTTCATTTCATAAAGGAGAGAGAGGGGTGTTGGATGAGAACAGTTTGTAGCGCAGGCTTTTGTAGTAACTCAAGTCATCCCGTGAGAGCTGCAAAAGGATTACTGTTTGGGAATGTGATGTTAGACCCGCCAGACCCAAACTTCGGAAATAGTAACATGATTTGTTTCTTAAGACCGGAGGTGGCCTGGGGTCCCCCTGCTGGGATGTCTGAGAGCTGTGACTGCCAGCAGCCCACATGTGCAGATGCGTAATTTAAATGCAGTTGGGTCTCAGGGGAAAACAGATTTTCAGAAATGCTTTCAAGGGCTGCTTGTTGTTTCCTCCCAGACCCAGAATGAGTGACGTTTCCTGCCAGAAGCGTGATGACTATTTGGAATGGCCCGAGTATTTCATGGCTGTGGCTTTCTTATCGGCCCAGAGAAGCAAAGATCCAAATTCCCAGGTAAGGAAGTTTTAGGAGTGACCGTTTGGGCACTCGAGACCGGGAGTCACCCCCAGGTGAGCAGAGGATGAAACAGGAGACTCACAGAGCCCTGTCAGGCAGAGCTGGCTCACTCCTGCCTGCTTCTGAGTTCCTGGGAGTAGTGATATCGCCCACATACTGCCTCTTGTGCCTCTCCTCACACCCCCAGGGGCTGAGGTACACTTTCATTGGCTGGGGGGACTTGCCACAGGAGGTGAGCGAGCAGACAGAGCTCTTAGTGTTACAGGGCAGGGAGAGAGGGGCACCACCGAACCCCCAAACCTGCCTGCTCTAAATAGGCTCTGACCATTTGCCGCATCAAGACAAGACATAACAGCTTTCATGGAAAGGAACTTTAATACATTCCACGAGTGTGCAATACAAAAAAGACAAAGAATATAGTTTCTAAATCAAACACCCAAAGATACCCATCCCTTGGTGGTAAAAGTCCAGCCTAAAGGGGTGGCCCAAAGCAAGGCCTGAAAGCCCCCAACAGCCTGAAGCACCTCTGGCCGGGACCCACTGAAAAGGGTAAGGAATGGCCAGACAAGTCTGGGAGGAGAAGAGCACAATCAAAATCAAGATAAATGCTGCTGAGGTCACCTCCCCACGGTCTCTCCCCCACGTCTGTTTCAACCAGCCCAGGACCAAGAAACAGGCCTGGTTTCTTCACCTGCCCCATGTGGCTTCCTCAGGGCTCCTGGCTCTGTCCTGCTTCCTTCTCCAGACTCCTCGCTCTCCCTGCTCAGCTCCACCCTCCTTCTGGGTGGGGGAGGGAACCGGAACTTCCCTTTCCTGGGGACCCCTGTTACAGTCGCACCTCCAGAAGCTGTGGCCCCCTCATCCTCCGCAATCCGTGCAGCTCTCCACAGCTGCTTACCACTGAGCCCTCGTGCATCTCCCCCAGGTCGGAGCCTGCATCGTGAACCCCGAAAACAAGATTGTGGGGATCGGGTACAACGGGATGCCCAATGGGTGCAGTGATGACCTGCTGCCGTGGAGCAGGACGGCCGAGCGCAAGCTGGACACCAAGTACCCTTACGGTAGGGCCTTGTGTGACCCCTTCTGCTTGGTGGCCGGGCCTGGGTGGGCGTGGGAGTCAGACAGCATCTCTGTTCAGTTATCAGAGACTGGGGGCGGGGGGGGGAGCAGCCCTGTGTCCCGTCATGTAAGTTCCAAAGCCAGCAAGTGGATGGCAGCTCTGAGCGCTGGGCCTCTGCTGCCCGAGGTGGGCAGGCTGGTCCGTGCACCTGCAGGTAGTGGGTGTGGCTGGCGTAGGTAGAGGGCAGGACCAGTGGGTGGTGGCTGAGCAGAGTGCGGACTGCTTCTTGGCTCCTGGGAGCGAGAGCTGCCGAGCTGGTCCTGGCGCGCTGCCCTGATGAGAGGGGTCCATCCAGTGGGGACTGGCCCCAGCTCACCCCGGGAAGCAGGAAGCCCTGAGCTGGACCTCAGGAGAGGGGTGGTGCAGGTGGGGTGCTGCGGGAGGCCCTCCCTGAGGCCCTGGCGTGGCTGGGCCAGGGGCTGCCCAGAGCCTGAGTGTGGAGCGGCACCTTCTGGTTCGCTCTTAAGTCAGGGAGGGGGTGTCTCGTGATGTTGCCCCCCTGAGCCGCAGGGGCTCAGCTCAGCACTTTTACTCCTGGAGAATCTGCGGCAAGGCCACCAGGGAGCAATTGGGCGGTGCTGCGCTGGTTTGCCACCTCAGGCTGTGCTTCTGTCTGCAAATGGACAGCTGGACTGTGTTGGAAGTGAGGAAGAGGGACACCATCCAGACGGGGAAGCTGGACCCTCCGGGAGACCGGGCGCAAGGCTTCACCGAGGCTTTGCTCGGCCCTGTACTTTGCTCGCTGGGTTCTTCTCCAGAAGAATGCCAAGGCTACCTTTTGCCTAAGTTAGATATTTTTACTAAGGAGGAGTTAGAGATCTCTGTGGAAACAACTCAGGAGCAGGACCCCAGTCAGGACAGTGGCTGCTGGGGGAATTGGGGTGTCGGCCTGTTGCCCTCGGGGGTTGCAAAATGATGCCAGTGAGCCTAGGGGGCCCCTCTCCAGGGAAGGGGCTGCCTTCCATCCCCTGGGCCCCAGGCAGGTTTGTGACCTCACCTGGAGGCCCCAGGCTTCCCAGCAGTTTGCAATTCTCCACTCTTGGGGAGTCTCTGACTGGCTTCCTTTGTTTGCTTGACACGCTGTCGCCACCATGGAGGGATCCTTCTGGCATCTTCTTTCCAGGAGGAGATTTTAAAAAGCCACACAGGCCTCTCTGTCCGGCTCCACTGGAGGGCTTTTTTTACCGAGTCGCTGCTGAGTTTCCGGGTGCTGGCTGGCTGTGTGGTTTTTTACTATCTGTGTGATAACTGTAGGTCTTCAAAGCGCTCTGCCCTCCCTTATCAATTATTCATTTTACATGTAGCTGTGTTAGAATGTAGACAGTCTTCTTCCACGAGAGTAAGCTCATAATTTGATGTACCATAAAAGTCGTAGAAGGTATTAAATGGTTTTTAAAAGGCATTTAGGATTACTACCGTCATAATACATGTAAGATGGGCTTTCCGTCTAAATAGCAACGACCGGCTCTAAACTCTGCACTTAGTCTTGCCTCGTCGGGGGGTTCTGGGCCTCACAGAAATGAATGTTGGCTGCCTGGGATGTCACAGCAATATTTGGTGGTAGTTGATTGAAATGCAGGTTCTTTTTTTTTTTTTTTTTCCTTCCTGTTTTAAGACTTAAGAAATGAACCCAAAGAATAAGGGATGATAGCTGGAATCAGGTAGGATTAACCCTTTCTTACCTTGCCGGCCATCATGGTGACTAAGTTGCCAGATCAGGATAGATTATGTTTTAGTCCCTATAAGGGAGTGCTGGAAATTGTCTAGAATTTTAGACCATGGATTCTTAATTCTTTCGACTCTACAGGGACCTTTTAAACATCAAAAAAATTTTCAGAACACTTGTATAATGCAGGTTGAACTAGTATCTTTCAAGTAACAGAACTCATGGTGCCATAAAAGCTACCAGCAATGGGTGACGTTGGTGAGTGACATCCACAAGTGGCCGAGGTCTGTGGTCTTTCCTGCCCTCTGCTCTCATGGGGGCCAGGGCACCAGCTTTTAAAAATTTTTATTTATTTAATTTTATTTTTATATCATCCTTCATTTTGTGCCTTTTTCCATCTTTGATGTACTCCCTGTGGGTTCATCATCACCAATTCACCAATATCACCATAGTCCCGTGCACCTTTTCCACCCCTTTTTTGATCCCATTCCCTACTCCACCCTGTAACATGTCTCTGTTGTATGGTTGTTCGTTGTTTTTCTTTTTTTCTCCATGGCCCCTTACACTCCTGCTATGAGTGAAACCATCTGGTATTATTCTTTTTCTTTCTGGCTTATTTCACTAAGCATGATCCCTTCCAGTTCCATTCATGTTACTGCAAAAGGCAGGAGTTTATCTTTTTTGGTTGCTGAATAATATTCCATTGTGTGTCTGTAACACATCTTTTTAATCTAGTCATCTACTTTTGGGTATTTGGGTTGATTCCACATCTTCCCTATTATAAATAGAGCAGCCATAAAATGGGGGTGCAGGTGTCCTTTTGAATCAGTGTTTTTGTGTCTTTTGGGTAGATCCCTAGGTGTGGGATTGCTGGGTTGTAGGGAAGCTCCATGTTTAGCAGTTTGAGGAGCCTCCAAACAGTTTTCTATAGTGGTTGTACCAGTTTGCACTCCCACCAGCAGTGTATGCTCCAGCTTTTTAAAGTGTGTTAGACCACAACCCAGTGGACCCTTCCCATTCCGAAGTGGAGTAAACTGAGGCTGAGATGCAGCACTAGCCCAGAAGTTAAGGGTGCAGGAGGGCTGGCTTTGGGGGGGGTCTGGGTGGGACCCGTGTGCTAGGTTTGCGTTAACATTCTCCAAAGGGGAGCCTGGGGCTGGGGTAAGCTGGAGTTTACCAGTAAATAACCAGCTTAGTTCTCCTTGTTAATTCTCTGAGTTTGGAAGTCATTAGTCAAGATTGACACTTTGTGGAAAGGAAGGGAACAGAGAGTACTTGCAATCTGAGAGGAAGATGGCGCTTTTCCTGGCTGTGTCTCTGGAGAGCCCCCTTTAAAGGGTGTTTTTGTTCTTCCAGCCTTAGGATCAAAACTTCACGAAATTATTTGATTATAATGGATTAGTACGGAAAGTGAAAATTCCCCCTGCCAAAGAAACTGCTTTTAGTTTCAGCCTTTTCCTGAATAATCCAAACGATAGTAGGATGTCAGTCAGCATTACTACAGTGACATCTTTTTACATGAATGACAATTAAAAAACCGGGAAGCAGCCGATTTATCTCATTTACCATGTAAAAAACTTGGGAAGAGTCTTATTTTTATGGAGGGGGGTTGCTCACCTCCAGTGAAGCCTTCAGCTGACATTCTTAGTTCCTTCCTTTTTGTGAAATTCATTAGCATGAAACCCATTTAATCAAAATATCAATTTCACAAAACAGAGGTGAAATCTGCTCGGTGATTCAGACATCCCTCTTCCTGTGGGTGTTCGGAACCAATTTTGATGACAAGTTTTATCCACCAGGGAGTTCAAATAGCATTGACGTCTTTGTGCCCGGGCACGTCGCTGGTGGTGCCCTCTCGGCTCACTGCTGGCTGGACTTTCCTCCTCACTGTCCAGCTGCCCAAGGGCCTCGTGTGAGAATTTGCTTCGTGGTGGCTGCTCTTCCAGCCAGTGACTCAAGGAGCTGGGATCACTGTGCAGGCTGCATCGTGTGACTTCAGGGGGCCAAGAGCACAGCATGACCCCCAGGGGCCACAGGCTGAAATGCTGGGCCATCCCTTCCTGAGTCAGTCCACGTCTCCGTGGGAAGACCCTTGAACGGGTGTGATGCAGAGAAGGAAAATGCTGGAATTAATGAAGGCGACCACGTTCCACAGCTGTGCCAGTGTGTGGCGGTGCTTCTCTGAGTTTTATATTTAAATGGAATCTGTAGTTTTCTGATTTAGCATATTGTTAAGCATGCAGAGATGTCATCTCCCTGATTACTTAGCCATTTACCTTGCCCCCCCCAGCACTGACATTTTCCTGACTGCCACACATGTGATGTATGTCTTTGCCATCCCAAAGGTTAGGCTTGAGAAACTAATTTATCAAGAAGTCCGAGGCTGATCCTCCTTAAGCTGTGACTTCATACAACTTGCGTCTTTGTAATTAAGATCGAGTTTGTTCCTTCAGCCAGTTGCCATTGAACGCCCTCTGGTTTGTTAGACACATCGTGGATTTGATGACCGGTTGTTTCTTTTCCTGCAGAATTATAATTTCTGCTAGAGCCTCCCACCCTTCGTGACTCGCTGGCCATGCCATCCTCATGGCCAACAATGGGCCTAATTAGGGACTTCTGTCCAAAATAGCCAGTGTGCTCGCTGGAGAACCTTTGAGCAAGATTACAGGAAGGAGATTAAATAGCGTTATTTTTATGAATTGAGAGGACAAGCTCAAGCCCATTGTGTTTAGGGAAACGCCAGCTGCTGTCGCGGGCTACCCCTTGCCCAAAATTAACGGTGTTGGTAGAAGCATTTTTCACTTTCAGACACAGTTGTTCATGAATAAGCTTCAGCAAGAATAATGTTTTTCCTTCCCTTGCTGCATTTTTATCTATGCGTTTTAATGCCTGGATTCATGGTTAGTTACTTTTGAGGAGCTAGAGTATTATTTCACTGTGGTTATCTCTGAAGGATACCTGGCAGCAACCAGCTCTCTGTTTGAAGATCAGATACGGGGGACATGCTCACCTACAGGGCCAGGCCTCCCCGCCAAATCCACATACTTGTCTCTGTTTTGTAAAGTCAGTTTACCTTATGGCCGTTTGTAATAAGACTCCATATTATTCAAGGTCAGCGGTTCCCAAGTTGAGACCAGAAGTCGTAAGGGTTATCTTTGACCATGTCTCAAAAAAAGAAGTTTGTTGAGAAATACTCAGCCTATTTTAGATCATGTTAAGTATGCAAGCACAGAAATGATGTTGAGTTCAAATGAGTATTCCCAGGAGAAGGGTGA